TTCCCACATTCCTTACATTCATAAGGCCTCTCTCCACTGTGAGTTCTTATATGTCTAGTGAGGTTTGAGAGATAGCTAAAGGCTTTCCCACATTCCTTACATTCATAAGGCTTCTCTCCACTATGAGCTCTTATATGTCTAGTGAGATCTGAAACCTGGCTAAAGGCTTTCCCACATTCCTTACATTCATAAGGCCTCTCTCCACTGTGAGTTCTTACATGTTTAGTGAAGGATGAGGAAGAACTAAATGCTTTCCCACATTCCTTACATTCGTAAGGCCTCTCTCTACTGAGAGTTCTTATATGTTCAGCGAGGGGTGAGGAACAACTACAGGGTTTCCCATCATCCTTACATTTACAAAGATTCTCTCTTACAAAAGGTTTTAGGTAAGAGGGACAACTGCAGTCATCTCCACATTTGTTACAACGGTAAGGTTTGTATCCAGGGTGAGATCCGATGTGATGCTCAAATGATGAATGATCCATGATGGCTTTTCCACACTCAAGGAACTCAGAAGGATTTACTCTAGTATGAGCTCTTTGGAGACTAGCAAGATTTCCAAACCAGCCGAAAGTTTCTTCACAGTGATTTTCTTCTCTACTTTCTTTACTTTCATGGCGGTTCTGTACTGTATATATTCTGTTAAAAACACGCAGCATGTTGTTAGAATTTATTACCCTTTCACAATTACCACACAGAGTGAAAATATGAGTTCTACCATATGTCGTCTCATGTTGTTGCACAGGCTGAATCACCTCACAGAGCATGTTACCATTACTGTCACAGTGTTTCTAAATAATGGAGCTTTCTGGTAATTATGTACAAGTGAAATATGTTCCAAATAATTATCTGATTCACATTTACGGAAACACTGTTTTGTGAAAATTATGTGAACACATCACTTTAGAGCTAGTTTCATGCACGCACGCACACACACACACACACACACACACACACACAGTCATGACACCTGAAGACTCTCCTGAGGTACTGCTGTCATGTAATACTCACCCTACATGCTTTCCCTGGTTGTTGTGCTGACATTCAATGCCATGGAATACACAGATTTCTCCTAACATGGAGAACCAGGAATCATTCTTCATGGATAACTTTTGTTCATTATTATCCTGTTGAAAAACTGACCCAATAATTTTTAGTGGAGTTCCAAAGTAGGAAACAAAACAGCAAGGAAAATTTTGAGGAACAAGGCATGTGTGAGAAGAAAGACTCTGAGGCATTTGACTGTTACATGACTTAGGTAATGGTCAAAAAAGTAAAAAATTTAGTAAGAAAAAACTCCAAGACAATTGAAAGTGATAGTGACATAAGTAGGGTGTAATTAGGAACACAAAATAAAAAGGTACTGTAAAAAATGCACGTGCGTAAAGGTAATATTGAAGACGAAATGGGGAGATATTTTCCCATAAACACAGAAAGCATGACAGAGGACTCACGAAAAATCAAAAGTCAGATCAGGTATGTGTGTAAGTTCTGCCTCCTAAAACCAAAAGAGTTTATTTCAAGTTGATTTCTTCAAATATAATTCCATCCCCACAGGGCTTCAAAGGATTCTTGCTTTCCTGGTGCTCCACGACACTACAGCTCTGGATAAGTCCTATGTCCACTCTCCTAAGATCTTTCCTTTGCTTCTCAGTGAGAAAATTTAATGTAGTTCATATGGTGCTCATAGGGAAAGACAGACCATGAGAAGATAGGCAAGCATATTTCCCTGACAACGCGCCAATACTTTGGTCACCATGATTTCTATATACGGGCAGATGTGAGTTTATTTGCAGCAAAATCATCACATCAAATTTGTAATAAACCTGGTAAAATACTAACGAGATACCAAACCACAAATCTCTTTCCCTCGAAATAACCCTGAAGCCAATGCTCATAAACTTACAATACTTAAAGAGCCTCAAGGTTTTTAACCACAAGAAAAATAGTCATTTTAATACATGGAGCCTCACTGGCTCAGTGGTTAAGAGCCTGGCTGCTAACCAAAACGTTGGTAGTTTGGATCCACCAGCTATTCCTTGGAAACTCTATGGGGCAGTTCTACTCTATGAGTTCTACACTATCAGTTGGAGTCGACAACAGCAATGCGTTTTTAAATAGATTTTTACTTTCATGGGGAAGCCACTAGAGTCTAAGCCCCGTGAAGGCAGTAAAAACATCTGACACGTTGGCCAATGTCTTCCAACTCTTCAAACTAAATCCTATAACAAGGTCAATAAGTACAATATATTCACTAAAGAAGTAAGAAAAATGAAGCCAAGCTTACCGGAGTCCAGGTTCCTGAAGGTTTCCATCATCACATCTCTGTAGAGTTCCCTCTGAGAAAAGTCCAGCAAAGCCCACTCTTCCTGGGTAAAGTCCACAGCCACATCCTCAAAGACCACTGAGTTCTAAAAGATCACACATATTCTAGATCACCAAGGTACCATCTTTCCCAATGTGTGAAAAAGGATAGGTGAAGCTGACAGTTCTGGGGAACTGAGACTTCATGCGGAGGTCACACAAGATTCTGTGTTCTACTGCAGACTTTGCCAATCAGCCCCATCCCTTTGCCGTCTACATTTACCTCCTGGCTGGTAGCATTCTATCTAATAGATATAACAATGTTTGTAACACAGTGAACTTATCTCTCCATAGTTTGACTATGACCAAATCCAGTCTTATACCTCTTTGTATTTATGGTTCAGAACACATAACAGAAGTGAAACAAATCCTCTATGAATAAAAGAACTTATTTCCACAACCAGATAACCATTTCTTTGTGGAAAAAAAAAGAATTTCACCTCTTTCTTAAGACCCACCACAACACATAAGAAAACATCAAGCGCTGGTGAAAGGAGATGGCAGCTTTTCCCATTGATTGAAAAAGTAAGCATCAGAATCAGACTCAGTTACGGCAGAGATTTTGGAATTATCAAATTGGGAATTTAAAACAACTAACAGTAACACCTAACAACATGATTCACATAAAAAGGCTTCCAATGTGAAAAGTAAACTACATGCAAGAACAGATGGGTAATATGAGCAGAGAGATGGAAACTCTTTAAGAAAAATCAACAGGAAATCCTAGAAATCAAAAACACTGTAATAAAAATGAAGAATGTCTTTACAAGGATCACCAACAGCTTGGACACAGCCAAGGAAAAATCAGTGAGCTTTAAAATAGGCCAAGAAGAAACATGCGAAACTGAAACACAAAGAAAAAAGAATGAAGAAGAAAGAAAAAAAGAATATTCAAGAATTGTGAACCAAAGTATGTAACATATGCACAATGAGAATACCAGGAGAGAGAACTATTTGAATAATGGCTGAGAATTTTACAAAATTAATGACAGACTCCAAACCACAGATCCAGAAGTTCAGACAACCACAGTCACTATAAACTTTGGACTGGTTCCAAAGTTAGTTCTGTCATTTTCTGCTTTTTTTTTCCTTCCATTTTTTGGTGTTTTCCGGCAGACAAAGCATGTCTGACCTCTGTCCCTTTTCTCTCTACGTCTTTAGTTTTTAATATTTCTGTCTTTATATACAAAAAAAATTCGTAGACCAAATATTTTGTTTTAATTATTTTATTTAGAATAATTAGTGACATAGTTATATTAACACCGACTTGTTACCCTTCGTTTCTTTTTCGTCTTCCACTCTTTTCTGCCTTCTCTTGTTTTAACTGAGCATTTTATGTGATTGCATTTTCTCTCCACATTTAGCATATGTGAACACAAAGGAGGCCTGGTGGTGCAGCGGTTAAGCGCCTGGCTCTAACCGAAAGAAATGACAGCAGTTTGAACCCACCAGCTGCTCTGAGGCAGAAAGATGTGACAGCCTGCTTCCATAAAGATTACAGCCTTGGAAACCTTACGGGGCAGTTCTAACCTGTCCTACAGGGTCGCTATGAGTCTGAATCATCTTGACAGCACAAAACAACAACATGCAAAGAGAGCTAAGAAAAAGGTGACTTCCACATGGTAGGAACGCTCTGTGGAATGTTCTACTTGCCCATGCCTCAACTGCTCCCTGGTTAGGCAGCAGTTTTACAGTGGTAGCAGGACGCAGTCCTAGGGCATGCTAGAGAGCGAGCGAAATGAAAACATGGAAAAAGAACTAAAGGAAAACAATGTATTGACAAAACAAGGAGTCCCTGGATGGCAAAAAGGTTAAGCACTCAACTATTAACTGAAGATTGGCAGTTCAAACCCACCCAGAGGCACCTTGGAAAGGAGGCCTGGCAATCTGCTTCCAAAAGATCACAGCCTTGAAAACCCTGTAGAGCAGCTCTACTGCACACACGGGATTGTCATTCGCTGAAATCGACTCGATGGCAACAAACAAGAAAACAAGAATATCAACAAACCAATATGAATTATGAAAGAGAAGCAAATTTTGGCACTAAAAAGTACGATAACATGAAAAATTCACTAGAGAAGGTGAATAACATTATCTCAGCAGAAGGAAGAATCATTGAACTTGCATATAGAACAATTGAAATTATTGTATGAAGAGCAGAAAGAAAAGAGAATGAAAAAAGTAAACAGAGACAGAAGGATTTGTGGGACATCATCAAGTAGACCAACACATGCATTACAGGAATACCCAAAGTAAAAGCACAAGAGAAAAGGGTAAAAAGAATATCTGTAGAATTAGTGGCTGGAATCATCCCAAATTTGATGAAAGACATGAATCTGCATCTACAAAAGCTCAATCAACTTCAAGAAGGAATAACTCAGACATTAGCATTGACAGAAATTATAATCAAACTCAAAAGGCAAAGAGAATCTTGAAAAAAGCAAAAATGACACAGTCATCAGTCAAATTAACAGAAGTCAGGGAGATCAAAAAGCAGGATGAACATACTTAAAGTACTGAAAACAAAAACAAAAGAAACCTGTCAACCAAGAATTTTATACCTGCCAAAACTGCCCTCCACAAATAAGGGTGACATTAAAACATAACTAAATAAAAGCTGAGGGAGTTGATCACCACCATAATAGACTTGTCTTACAAGAAATGCTAAAAGGAGTCCCTTCAGGCTGAAAATTAAAAACAAAAAAAAAACACTGACTAGTAATGCAAAGCTGTATAAAGAAAAAAATATCCAGTAAAAGAAATTATATGTACAACTATAAAAGCCAATATTATCGTACTTTAGGTTTGTATCTCTACTTATACATGATTTAAATGAAAAATACATAAAAATATTTGCAAATTTATGTTATTGGGGACACAATGGATAAAGATATAATTTGTGAGAACAAAACTTACAAAGGCAGGGAGATACAGCTATGTAGAACC